CCCCCCCTCCCCCTACTATATATATATATATATATAATTACATAAGTAATGATTTCCAAGTAGAAATTACAAAGGATCGTACTCCGTCCGAAAAATTAAAAAATTTTCTAGTTTCAAAAACAAATTTCATCTGTGTTTTATTTTTATCTTTTATAAATCTAATTGTGTAAATAATGTCATTATTATAATAATAATAATAATAATAATAATAATAATAATAATAATAATTATTATTATTATTTTTTTTTTTTTTTTTTTTAATCAAGTAGTTTATTAAATCACATTAGCCAACATATATAAATATTTTATGTAATTATACTCTTTATGTCACCGCTTGAGAGGCATATGTTTTGTGATATATGTACATAACCCAATGTATATAAATATAAATATTAATATAAATAAAGTAATATAAAAAATACATATGTAGGAGCATATCATAACCCATTAAATCATAAAAAAATACACCAATTATTTATAATTTACCAAAGATTAAAATTAAAATAAAATCGTTTATTGATTTATAATTATATAAATATTAATTTTTTTCTATTAATTGAAGGCGATTATTGTATAAAATATAAGCTTTAACACTCAATATACTCATTAATTTCATTTGTACCCATGAATAATAATATGTGTAAAAAGATAAACTCGTAAAATTATTTATACCAATTATTTTTCATAGAGAAACAAGCTCCAGAATGTATAGACCATTGATTAATTAATTATACGATTAAATTAGAAAAAAAAAACTATTAAGCAATTGAAAGTATGTAAATGTACATGTACAACATGTTATTGACGTCAAAATATAATAATATATATAATAAATATTATCAATGAATATTTTTATATAATTTATTATTTTCCTATTTGATTTTAATTTATGTATATATATTTTATTTCACTGTTAATAGTTATCATAATAATATGTCATCAGTTGATTAATAAATGGAAAAAAAAAATTAAAAAATTATGAAGGGGGGAGGGGATGCATCCTATAATATTCCTATAATATAAAATTGATTACCAATCGAAACCAATCGAAAAAAAAATGGACCCTGATTTCTTACTCGTTTAGGAGTAGGTATACACAGCGCTTAACTTAAATTTATAGGTATATAGTATTTCGATAAAATCAAATCGAATTGAATAGTAGAATTATTGACGGAATATTGACGCCGTTTACAGTATGACAACATACTATTTCCTCTAAGCATATAGTACAAAATTTATAATGCATTATGCAAATGAATCTATAAATAATGTTCAATTTCTACTGATAATAATAATAATACAGTATAACGATGATACGTAAGTTAGATTAGTCCATATTGCTTAGATCGAAATTTTTAAAGAGTGTGTGAAACAGCAAACATAACACTATTAAATAAATAAATAAATAAATAAATAAACGATTAAGTAAATAAAGTGGATGATAATTTATTTTTAAGTGACACAACCGAAATTTGTTGGAATTTCACGTGGATTAAGTTGATATAAGAGGTAAGAGGAATAGAATGTAAGAAAAAATAAAAAAAAAAAAATAAAAATCCTTCTTAGGATGATAAAACAAAAGGATTTATATGAGAAAGGTATTTTTACTACTGGTGGATGGTTTAAGTACAGCTTATTTAAGCTTATTAAACTAAACAACGATTACTAAGTTGAACAGAAAACGATTAAAATAAAAAAAAAAAAAAAAAAAAAAAAGATTGATTCACTATACATTAATCGGATGGCAAATGATAAAAATATATATTTATACAAGTATATTAATGTATATGTAGTTGATTAAGTAATAATAATGAAATATTAGATGTGTGTTTATTCTTTTTTAATAAACAATTATTAAATTGGATGATTATTTATAGGTATATCTCTGTCGGTAGATGACACATTAATATAAACTTTTTTTTGAGCATCTTGTCTTTTTTGTTCATCTTTCGTTAAAACAGTCATAATAAATCCAAAAAGAAGAGAAACGCATAAACAAATATGAACAGCCAAGTCTCCATTAGTTTCCATAAGTTTTCCAGAAATAATAACAAGTATTATACCGTATATATTATTAGCTATATTTAAAATTCCCGTTGCAATCGATTCCGATTCTGGATAAGTATACTCGGCACACATTTCATATCCAAGAGCTAAATATCCAGATAAAAAAAATCTGTAAATAATTAAATTATTTATTTAATTTAATAAATTTGATAAATCTGTCTAGATCTGGATATGTTATGTGTATTAGAATTTATAAACTGGATAAAACTCACCCCAAAAAAGTTGCCGCTAAATATACTGTCCACTTAATCTCTATCCACATGGCAATAGCAAATAATATTTGTCCCAAAAGAGTTAAAAAATAAACGGTGACTGTTGTTTCTCTAAAATAATATAATAATTAAAAAAAAGAATAAATTTATTTTTTGTCATACATACTTAAATTTATGAGTTTTATCAAGAATAAACCCAAATATAACGGACCCAAACATTCCCATTACAATTATTAATAACCCAAGACGGCCAGCATCTTCTTCACCATTCTAAAATATATTTTATTATTTATCAGATTTATTATATATATATATTATATAAAATACTTGAAATGATGATAATAATAATTATTACTTTAAAGTGTATAAGAAACATTTGATTTAATAATGTTCCAACAACATTTAGAACACCAACACCTAATCCATACGAATTACATAGTATTAAATAACTTTTATTAGTCATTAATCTTTTTATTGGTTTAATCAAGCCTGATTTATTTTCTGAATTATTTATTTTTTGTAATTTACGTGTTTGACTTGGTGGTAATTTTGGTTCGTCTTGAAAAACTATATAATATTATATTATTATTTAATTTTAATTAAGTAGTATCAATT